GTTATGTACAAGTGAATATACATAAACAAAGCAAACAAGTCCTTAGGTTTATGCTTACATGGAGTCTCATAGGTAAGTATCCTCTTAAAGTTTAGTTGGCTTAAACATGTCCTATTAATAGTAACCGGGTTCTAAGGGAGCTCAATATCACTGGTTTGTTTTCTCAGGCATTATTTCAGTGTAAGCCTCTTTAATGGTGACATAAATATCCCAAAAAACCAAACCTCAATGAGTGTAGTATCGAGTATCTACCAACTTCGGACTGCACCAAAGCCAGTCATCTCACTACGTCCTAAAGGCCAAGTTGGTCAAGTAAAGATTCTAAAAGTTCATTAGTGCTTCATGATATCACTCAACGGCCCCGTATTGTCCTTGACTACTCAAGGGCTACCGATACCCACAAATATGTCACACTAACATAGCTATTGCTTAGACCATGTCGGTGTACCCCGCACAGTTTCCACAATGTATTGCTACTTACCTATAAGGTATCCCAAATCCGGGTGGAGGATTCAAACCCAAACAAAGAAACATAATGTAAAGCATACAAGTCAAACAAAGAAAGAAAGTAAATGTGATCTAATCCTAAGGTAACCTCACTTTTAGAATTCTCCCCAGCAGAGTTGCCAGTTCTATGATACGGTGGGAGAACTGACTTAAGATGTTTTGCGTTTGATCGCAAATGTTGCGGTTTAGCAAGAGTCGCCACCAACTTTTCTTTTATCCAAAAGGAAAGGTGAAAAAGCACAGGAAAGACCTTTGAGATTATTTCTTGAGTTCGGGGGGGGGGGGGGGGGGTAGATCATGAAAAGGGAAGGTATTAGTACCATTTTCATCCATGGTTTTCTATGGGCTCTTAGTTACTTGCTAGATCACTTGCTTTTGTTTGAAATTGTGCTTTATGTGGTTTTGAAAGTATTTTTGAAAAGAGGCCATTGTTTAGGTAAAATTTTGTAATGATTCTCGTTCGTAAGAATTTATACAAAGGTGTTGATCTTTTGAAAATGTTTTCAAGTTTGAAAGATGTTTTGAAAGTGTTGGTGTTTGTTTTGAAAATAGCAAGGATGTTTTTGTTTTGAAATAGAGCAAGTAACTAGGAACATTCTACCTACTCAAAAGTCTTTCATGTTCAATTCCTTTTTCCTTTGACATTGTTATCTTACCATTGATTTGGTAAGTAACCCTATCTTTGGATGTAAACGGGATGGGCGTGGGTCATTGTATAACCATGATTAGCAATGTTGCAAAGTATCTTAGCATTTTCCTTTAGGGACTAAGGTCATTTTTGAAAGGCAACTTTTGATAGCGTCATCGAGGGACTATGATCTTGTATTTTGCTTATTTTTGCTAAGATACCTCACATGCGTAATATGGTCATTTTTGTAAGGCAACCAAGTGGATTTACCCTAGGGGTGCTTGTGTGCAAGTGTATTGATTTCATGCTTTGTTTTTGTCTTGATTAGGGTTTGCTATTTTGTTGGTTTTAGTCTTTCCATACAAAACCCTAATTACTAGCAATTTGTATATAAAGTATTAAATTGAGAAAAATAAAAATACTAAGCTATTGCAAAGCTTTAGGGGATGGGGGTACAATTTTATGAATGGAGATTGCAATAAATTAAAGTCCTAATTATCTATTACAACCATATTGAAATAATGTACAGGAATTGAAATGGAATTTTTTTTTTGTTGAGAAATTAAATTTATTTAAAGAAAATATTTTGATATTTTTTTTATTCTAAAAGAAATAAAATAAAACATGTGAATATTTTTGGTGTTTTTGGTTATTAAAAGCAAAAAATAAGATAAACAAGAAAATGGAGTCAGAATCAACACATTGCTGAAACGAGGAGGAACAAAAGTTCTGATTCTGATACGCTGCAAGAGAGAAAATGTTAGTAGGCAAGCAAAAGGTCAGAAGTTCTGGGCATGAGTACACCAAGTTCTGAGTTTACTGGGAACAAAGGAAGATCTAGAAGTTCTGATTATTGAAGGGGTTCATAGGTTATGGTGTAGTTGGGTACCTAGAAGTTCTTATATTACTGGCAAGTTAGAAGTTCTGGCCATTTGAGAAAGTGAGATGGAAATGTTGTTGGGTAAGGGTGTTTAGAAGTTCTGATTTAGGAATATTGTTTGCAAGATAAATGGGTGAAAATAAAACCTAAAAAAGAGATGCTTCTGGGACTAGAACCCAGGACCCTTAGTACTAATGTCTTATACACACACCTTCTACCACTGGGGTGGTTGTACATCCGATATTATAAGCAAACCCATGAACATATAACATAAAGTAAGTTCTAATGACGAGCTTCACCTCTTTCTCCATGCTAATCAGAACCTCTGCAACTTAGTCATTTTTCAACAGAACAGAAAACGCAAACACAATAATTATGGCAGGTTTCCATCATGGTTTCAGAAGCACAAAAAATATCAAGACTATAAATCAGAAACAAACATGTATCTGCTAATACTAATTTCCTTAGGAAATTCTGAACTGATATTCTCCCTATTTAGGCAGAAAAATATATGAAACTTCAGAATATATACAACATCAGAATCAAGATGTCTACATTGTGTTTTTTGACATGCAAGCCTAACCATGCTTAAGTGATATGATAAGGGTTAGCAGAAGCTTACCTTGTCGCTGAAAAATGTTCTGGGGGCTAGGGCCTGGTTCTGACTGCTTATAATATTCTGATTAAATTCCTCACGTATTCAGTAGGCTGGAACACCATTTGGCTTGGTTTATGAATGGTGAATGGATGATTTGGTCAAGAAACACTTGAGAGAAGTTGGAGTTTGAATACAAGAATAAAAAACTAGCAGGTTTTGTGTTTGTGTTTGCAGTTTAGGATTTCTGGAAATTTTAGCAAGGTTTCAAAGTTTTCTCTTTCAACTTTTCTCACCGGGCCCCCTCATAGTTGCAAATGAAGTTCAATTAATAGGCAAGAACTTTGCAGCTTGGAGAAGTCAAAAGTACCAACATCATGTTAGCGTGTTGGCTTGTTCTTGAAGCAAGATGAATAAATATGGTGGTTAGCAGCTTTTAGCCGTGCCTAAGCTGAATTTGTAAGCATGAATTAAGGAAAAGTACCCTCAGAGGCAAAAGCAAAGCATGGGCCCAGCATAAACTTGTACAAAAGTTTGCTTTTCAAGGACTGTAATGGTACTTTTATCTCACACGTGGGGAAATCCTTTGGATAAAAGATCAAAAGTGGTTGTAAGCATTAAATGATGATGAGATTTATCAAACCAGAAATCCTGCGCTATGGGATTGTGCATCATAGCTTAGATCTGGGCCAGAAGTTCAACATCAGCGCAACTTAGAATAAATATCTAACTTCTGATCTTGGAATCTCTCTGCTCCAACATGTTCTGAAGGAGTTCTTAGACTTTTCTGAAAGCTTGTAACACGCTTTGTAGATTTTATTTGAATTACTTTTGCAAACTCTGGCTGAACCTTCATGAAAACTGGCCTAGAAGTTCTAACCAAAATCTGTCTTGAAAATGTCCAGAATTTGCTGAGTGCTTCAGTTTCATGAACGTGTCTTTGAACATTTATAACTTGAAATTCCAGCATTTCTAGGAGAAGTTCTATTCTGCAATATTTTAAGTTTTATTGAGATCTAAAACTCTTATGTTAGAGATTCTTCCAGAATCAACTTGCATCATGGTGACAATCTGATCAGAAGTTATGAGCTTGTCATATTTCTTAAACACTTAGAAAAATTCTAAGTATTTTAGAATTTTGACTTTTGAATTCCTTGATGAAACAAACTTCATATTTCAACACGTCTTGATTAAATATGATTCTTGAAACCTGATTTTGATCAAAAGTCAAAGTTTGACTTCTCAGTGTGCAAATGACCATTTTGCTCTTGTGCCAATTCCAATCCTAAATTGATGTATCAGTGCTGCAAAGTTGACGTCATAAAAGATCTTGTGAGAGAATCCTTAAAAAATGAGAGGGAAAATTTTGGGTTACAACATCATCATATGATGGAATCAAGCTTCGTGATATTGTCTCTAATATTAGGAATACTTACTCTATAGGCATAAGTATGAGCAGGCATGCAAGGCTTAGCAAATTGCAAAAGCTTTGGTTGAAGGTGATGCAACAAAGCAAAACACACTGTTGTGGAGGTATTCTGCAGAATTAAGGAGGATTAACATTGGGAACACCTACAAAATTAATGTCATAAGAGTTGGTCCAACAATATAACCCATATTTGGCTGCTTTTATTTTTGCTTTGATGGAATCAAGAAAGGATTCACTACTGCGTGCAGACCATTCATTGGTGTAGATGGTTGTCACCTAAAGACAAAATATGGAGGCACCCTACCTGTTGCTATTGGAAGGGACCATAACGACCAATATTATTCGTTGGATTTAGGTGTATGTGAGGTTGAGACAAAGGAGTCATGGAGGTGGTTCCTGACTTTCCTTTTGGAAGACATTGGATAAGAAAAAAAAATGGATATTCATTTCAGACTAGTAAGAAGTATCTCTCAGATCTTTTTTTTTTTAAATTCATCCGTGATACATGCAATTATGTTTTGATTTGGACCCTGAAATATAAATATTTTTATGGAAATCAACCCTGAACATGTCACCTTATTTTGAATCATGTCACTTATACTATTGTTTGTTTTGATTTCAAGGGCTTAAATCCTGTGTTTGAAGAGATGTTTAAGAGGGTGGAGCATAGGCTTTGTCTTAGGCATTTATATGCCAATTTCAAAAAGAAGTTTGGTGGTGGCACACATATGAGAGATTTGATGATGGTTGCAGCAAAGACCACATATATACAAGCATGTGAAGCAAATATGAAAGAGTTAAAGGCGTTTAATTCTAAAGCTTGGGAGTGGTCGATCAAAATACCTCCAAAAATTTAGTTATTTATTTTTTCTGATAAATATAAATAAATAAATATATAGTGGGGTTTATCAGCACATCTCAAATCGAGTCTCCCCCATTTCTCTCTCGACTTTCAGAAACAATGGATTTACTCACAACCTCTCCTTCTCGCTCACTCTCACACCTTCCCACCCTTTTCCCAAAACAGCCCATTTCTTCCTTCAACCCTAAAACACCGTTTTCCCAATTTCGCACAACCCCAGTCAGTTGCGTCCTCACAACCTCATCGCCAAAACCCTCAAACTTCGAATCCCATCTTCAAAAACCCACTATCACCTTTCAACTATCTTCCCCTCAAACGCCCGAAAGGGCCATGCGAGGCGCCGAATCGGATACTATGGGCTTGTTGTTGAGGGAGAGGATTGTGTTCTTGGGAAATGAAATTGATGACTTTGTTGCTGATGCTATTATGAGTCAGTTGTTGCTCTTGGATGCGCAGGATCCTACTAGAGATATTAAGCTTTTTATCAATTCTCCTGGTGGTTCTCTAAGGTTAGATACATAAAGTTTTTTTTTTATTGTTTATGTAGGTTTTGAATGCTCACAATATATTTCTTGGAATTGGACAAGGGTTTATGAGAATTGTTGCAATTGTATCTCAGAAGGTGTATTTAGAAGATAAGATTTTAGGGTTGGAAATGTAATAGTAAAAAAGGGACCTTTATTAATAAGAATATGAAAAAAGAAGGATAAATGTCACCTATTTTGGGGGCGGATTGGTTTGATTTTTGTGATAAATTTATGCTTCTTTTGGTAACGTTTTGCTAACCAAGATACTGAATTGGTTATACTGTGATGTTTATTCTGCTTGTTGAAGCTTTGAATGAAGAGATACGAAACATAGAAAGTCTCCTTTAATGAGTTGTGTTTGTTCAAGCTTGTGTTCTGTGTTTAATTTGGGATTATTTTTGTGTCTGTGTCGTAATGATTCAGAGGTTACTTTGGTGTGTGTTAACTGTTCGCTGAAGTGGTGTTAGTGATGGAAATTTGAAATCCTCTTGTTTACCTGCCAGCATTTTATGATATTATATTTGTACAATTCTATGTTGGAAATAGCCACGCAATTGTGTGCAATAGCGGATTGTGGAATGGCAACTACATCTGGTGCAGCGCGTTTTAGTAGCTGTCCTCCTTCAACAATTGAAGTGTCAGCACTCAGCAGCCGCTAGTGGTGACAAAATAGCCTTTTTTGTGGCCGCGTTTCCGTTCGAACTTGATTTTGTCATTTTGATTACATTTAAAACTTGATTTTAATGGGAAATGAAAAAGTTTGTTATAATTATCAAGGATGGTTGTCTTTTAATTGTGTATTTTTCTATTTGAGTATTTATATATCTTGATTCTTGTTAGAATTTATGTTTACTTTGTATATTGTTTTCTAGTCTTCGCAATAGCGGCTATCCCTCTGTCCTCTATACCGCCATAGTTGTTTACTTTTGGGGTTTGGCGCTACGCGCCACTATCTGGAATAACAACAGACACAATGTTGGTAACATTTTTCCTCTAGTTTTATTTTGGAAGTGTTAATACTTTTCTTCTGAAGAATTTTTTTTTTTTTAGTTTCCAGTTTTTCCTTTTGCAGTATTCTGCAGGAGGATATCTTACCCTCTTACTAAGAGCTTTTATCTTTTTTCATTGTTTTCCTCTTCCATCCAAAGACACTCTAGCATAAATGAATAGTATAGCACCAAAAGCTTGTCACTTGATTATTTTTAAAATAATGGCACATTGACTTACGTTATATGAGAGTGGATATATATTTTTATCAGATTGTGTTCAATATAGTACCAAACCGTAGGCAGCCATCTGTTTGCTCCTTTGATTTGAAACACACATGCTTAAAGAAAGAGCCTTGCTTGTATGTGACATGTACTAGGCACTTGATTCTTGCAACACTTCTATGAAAACTGATAAAGCACTCAGAGAAACAAAAAGATGTTGTATTTATTAAGATAGATGCTAGCAACACACTCTTTCCAAAACACCATCTATTGTTAGATGAATTTCATGTGGGTCTGATCTAAATAGAGTGAGTTAGAGTTTCAAATGAACCTCACCGAATAGTAGTGTATTGGAAAGGATAGTCTACAATATATGTGTTTTATTAAATATATGATTATAGATGCAATCATTACAGTGAAAATTTAGGCATCCTCCATTATAGAGATTATAGAATATATTTTTAGGTGGTTTGAGTGTGTATGGAGCAGATGTGTAGAAGCGCTGGTACGTAGAATAGATAAGACTGGCCTAATAGTATGTTCCATGGTGTAATGGAAGGATGGGTTAAAAGTTAGAGGTAGAGGGAGATAAAGAGAAAAAATAGGAAAACCATTCAGAGAGATTTTAAGGTAAATAGTCTATTGTAGGAAATCCATTTTGTGAGTATTCAGAGCCAATTTTTTAGAAAAATTAATCAAGAATCAATATTAAATTGGGATGTCGAGACTCATTGCCATGTTAAAATGTTTTATGACTTGTTGTTTTTATGTTGGCTTTTTGTACAAATCTGGTGATAGTCTAGACTTGTTCTTCTCATTTGTTACATAAGACTGGCTTTCAAGCGCGCATGTACCTGTGCACACATACATCTATGTGATCCTATAATTATGGAATCAAACCAAATATCCTTATCTCTATTGTTGATATTTGTAAATATATAATGTTAAGAATATTTGTACGTAGAATAGTCTCACATCGATCATATCATATAATATAATTAGTTGTAATCTCTCTATATATAATAAAGTTTCCGTAGTGCTTTCAAAACACACGGTTTAACCTAAATGTCTCTTAGTCTCTCCTAATTGAATATGGTATCAGAGCTTCATCTAAAGATCCATTGGGCCACCCACCATTTAATTCCACGCTTTAGACGCAACTCCTGGGCGTGAGATGGGGTGTTAAGAGTCCCACATCGAATAATATATGGCATGAACTTGTGTTTATAAGTGTGAGAAATCCTCACCTTACAAGCCGGTTTTGTAGAGACAATTGGCGTCGGATGTGAGTCTTAAGGCCTTTATTACCTTTCAGTGTCATCTCAGACATGCTCAGCTAAATATTCTCCACTCACAATCCGTGCTCAATTAGGTCATCCTAGTCTTTCCAAATTACAGAAGTTGGTGTCAAGTTTATCGAAAATATCTAATTTACATTGTGAGTCGTGTAAGTTAGGGAAACACAATCGTAGTCAATTTCCCAATTGAGTCAATAAACGAGCTTCGTCCCCTTTTGTTTTAGTTCACTCCGATGTTTGGGGTCCCTCACGTACTATCTCTACTCTTGAGTCTAGGTATTTTGTCACCTTTATTGATGATTTTTCACGTTGCACGTGGTTATTTGTAATGAAAAATAGATCAAAATTATTTTCTATTTTTGAAAATTTTTATAAAAAAATAAAAATTGAGTTTGGTGTGTCTATTCGTACCTTAAGAAGTGATGATGCTCGTGAATATTTATCCCAATAATTTCAAACTTTTATGTCCAGTAATGGTATTCTCCACCAAACATCTTGCCCTCATACACCTCAACAAAACGGGGTAGCCGAACGCAAAAATCGGCATCTTGTAGAAACCACTTGGACCCTACTTCTCCATGGTAATGTTCCACTTCGGTTTTGGGGAGACGCTGTGCTAACGGCATGTTACCTTATAAATCGCATGCCATCATCTGTCCTTAACAATAAAATTCCTCATTCAATCCTTTTTCCCCATTATCCCCTTCACCCAATTCCTCCCCGAGTCTTCGGTTCTGCATGTTTTGTACACAATCTCTCTCCTGGTCTTGATAAACTATCAGCTCGATCATTAAAGTGTGTTTTTCTTGGTTATCATCAATCCCAAAAAGGTTATCGTTGCTATTCACATACTCTACAACGATACCTGATGTCGGCCGATGTCACATTCTTCGAGTCTGTTCCATATTTCGAGTCTAGCCAAGTAACTCCGAAACTCCTTCGGGAGAGTACTCCGACACCTCTTCCGGAAGTCCCATATGTCATTATCCCCCATCATTCTAGGAAATCTGACCCACTAGATAACCCTACGGTTGACCCCCCGACTTCTCGTCTACTTCAAACATATCAGCGTCGTCAACCAACGTCTGTCGTACTTGTTCCCGAGGTCGTACCTGTCCTCGAGGTCGTACCTGTCCTTGAGGTCGTACATGTCCCTGAGGTCATTGCAGACTCTCCTCCGACGCTCTCGCCATCACCGGATCCGATCCTGCAACCTGAGTCCGATCTTCCGATCGCCCTTCGAAAAGGTATACATCAAACACGAAACCATTCTCCACATTATATTGATTTATGTTATCATCGTCTTTCCCTTTTGCAGTATACTTGTTTGTCTTCTCTGTCTTCTGTTTCTATTCCTAACACTTTAGGTGAAGCATTATCTCACCGTGAGTGGAGGGAAGCAATGATTGATGAAATGTGTGCTCTTCAAAAGAGTGGTACATGGGAACTGGTTCCTCTATCCCTTGGGAAATCTTTAGTAGGTTGTCGTTGGCTTTATACAATGAAAGTTGGTCCAGAGGTAAGATTGATCGATTTAAAGCTCGCTTGATAGTCAAAGGATACACTCAAATTTTTGGGTTGGATTATAGTGATATTTTCTCGCCTGTAGCCAAGATGGCATCACTTAGACTTCTTCTAGCCATTGTAGCCATTCGACATTGACTTCTTCATCAACTTGACATCAAAATGTATTTTTACATAGTGATCTTGAAGAGAAAGTATATATGGAGCAACCACCTGGGTTTGTTGCCCAGGGGGAGTCATCGAATATGGTTTGTAGGCTACACAAGTCTCTTTGTGGTCTTAAGCATTCTTCGAGAGCTTGGTTTGGCAGATTCAACACTGTAGTACAACAATTTGGTATGGTCCGTAGTGAAGCTGACCATTCTGTCTTTTATCGTCACTCAGTCCAAGGGTGTATTTATCTTATTGTGTATGTAGATGATATTGTCATAACTGGTAGTGATGAGCCGGGAATACACCAATTGAAACAACATCTTTCGAATCAATTTCATACAAAAGATCTTGGTAAACTCCGGTATTTCTTGGGTATTGAGGTAGCCCAATCTAGAGATGGTTTGGTGATTTCTCAGCAGAAATATGCTATGGATATTTTGGAAGAAACAAGTTTGTTGAACGTTAAACCAGCTGATACTCCTATGGATCCAAATGTCAAACTACTATCCAATCAGAGGGAGCCTTTATCAGATTCGTGAAGGTATGAGAGATTGGTTGGAAAGTTGAATTATCTCACAGTCACTCGTCTAGACATTTCTTTTGCAGTCAGTGTAGTAAGCCAATTATTAAATTCCCCTTGTCAGGAACACATGGATGTTGTTATCCGGATTCTGAGATACATCAAATGTGCTTCAGGAAAAGGTTTAGTATATGAAGATAAAGGACATACTTAGATAGTTGGATACTCTGATGCTGATTAGGCAGGGTCACCAATTGATAGACGATTCACCTCTGGGTATTGTGTACTTGTTGGAGGAAATCTTATATCCTGGAAAAGTAAGAAACAAAATGTAGTTGCAAGATCAAGCGCCGAGGCAGTAAAGGGCCATGACAATGGCAACATGTGAACTCATTTGGTTAAAACAGTTGCTCAAAGAACTTCAAATTGAAGAAGTAAGACCAATGACACTTGTATGTGATAATCAAGCTGCATTGCACATTGCTTCAAATCCAGTCTTCCATGAGAGGATCAAACATATTGAGATAGACTGTCACTCTGTCAGAGAGAAGATTGAATCTGGCGACATTGTCACAAGCTTTGTCAACTCTAATGATCAATTGACAAATGTGCTTACAAAATCTCTGCAAAGTCCCGTAACTAATTATATATGTGGCAAGCTTGGTGCATTTGACTTATATGCACCAAACTTGAGGGGGAGTGTTGATATTTGTAAATATAGTGTTTAAGAATATTTGTATGTAGAATAATCCCACATCGATTATATCATATAATTAGTTGTAATCTCTCTATATATAATAAGTCTCTGTAGTGGTTTCAAAACATACGGCTTAACCTAAATGTCTCTTAGCCTCTCCTATTTCAATACCTATAAATATAAAAGCTAATAATATGGATGTTAAATTTGATTACAATCAATAATCATATCTCACTGGCCACTTGGCAATGTACTCTTATATTTCTCCATTCTAGTACAGAGAACTAAGGCCATATCAGAAGAGCCATATGTCTGTTCAATTTCGTTAATTTCATGTAGAGCTAGTGTGCCTATTCTTTTGGACTGCATTATTGATCCTACATCGATATAGTTTATGTTATTTTCGAGTTGTTTAAGTTAGGATCACCATAGTTGTCTTGTATGCTGTCAGGCACCTAGAAAAAATAAATGGAAGTCTGTTGTGATTTTCTTGGAGTCATGTTTTGTCTGATTGAAGGGCTTCCTTTTGTTAACTTGTTAATAATAATTGATTTTTGTTTTTCATTACAAGTGTTTTTTCTGTTTAATTCCTTACATCATTCTTCATATCTGACTTATTTTGCATGCTGTTATTTATTTAGTGCTACAATGGCTATCTATGACGCGGTACAGCTTGTGAGGGCTGATGTATCCACAATTGCAATGGGCATTGCAGCATCAACAGCCTCCATTATCCTCGGTGGTGGCACCAAAGGTAAGCGTCTAGCTATGCCAAATACGCGAATCATGATTACTCAACCACTCGGAGGTGCTAGCGGAAAAGCTATAGATGTAGATATTCAAGCTAAAGAAATCATGATCAACAAGAATAACGTGTGCAGAATTATATCATCCTTCACTGGTCGCTCAATTGAACAAGTTCTGGAAGATATTGAAAGGGATAGATATTTGTCTCCAATTGAGGCAGTTGAATATGGAATTATTGACGGGGTAATTGATGGAGACAAGATTATTCCTCTTTTTCCAGTGCCAGAAAAAGTGGAACCAATCACACTAGACATCGATGTTCCGGATTTCCTAATCCCAAATATCCCTGATGATGAGATATACTAGCTTTATATACAAATGTGATGTTGTAACAAAATGAAAGTTTCAGGATTATTGTTTGTAGGATGCTGCGACAATATTTGTCTTTCAACTATGATTCAGTTATGGAGAAATTTGTTTGATTATTGTTATTCTTGTTGTTCCTTTATTCTGTCTTAACTATTACAAAGGTTGATTTTTAGAACATTCATAACAGTTAGACAATTCAGACCTCGACTTATCTGAGTAGAGTCCGGTAGAGAGGGGTGTTGGAATCCTCGGTAGGATTCATATTTTAAACACCTCGAATCCGACTGTATTATTGGAAATGCTCTTTAAAAATAGAGTTTTCACTTCTTGAAAAGATAAGTTTGAAAACCTTAAACATAAACTTTGACTAAAATTGTTGAAAACAGTGATTATAAAAGAGATGAAACCAAGTAAAAGATAGATTGCAACATCTACTATAAAACATGAAAAGGAAACAAATTTTCAAAATAATATAACATTGTAAACATAAAATGTCAACCAATAATATGATATAGACACTGTTGTGTAGGTCAACCTTTGTCACCATGGAAACAGAATGCTGCCGACTCATCAAAGGAGCCTGTGATTGATTACTTACTAATTAGTGATTAATTAAATACTAATTAATTTTGAAACTCAACTATCACTGTGACAAAAGCTAAAAAGAGTAGCCTTGTCTTTTTTGATGAAAATTTAGGTTAACTATTGCCGGATAAACCGAATATTCTTGTGAATGATAGTGTCATTTCACAGTTTTGACTCTCACATTCAAAAGTCTAAACCAAAACTATTATTTTTTATAAAAGAAAATATTAACAGTCAAAGTCTATCAATTTCTTCTACTAATTATGCCTGCAATGATGAACATGTAAATTCAAAAAACCATCTACAACTATAAATTATCAATCACTTATTTTTTTTTTAAAAAGTTTCTTATAAATTTTTCAGAGAAACTAAAAGAAAAATAATCAAAAAATTTAATTTTGATCCATGCAAAAAACCATTATACAGAGATGTGACGTGCAATATTTGTTTAGCTTTTGGTTCAACAAGAAGCCAATCCACAAACTTAAAATCTTTTCTGCTTATTTTAAAACTAGCTTATTGCAATTGCTATCAAAGGATCACTAGACATAAACAAATTCATGGACGTGAGGTGAACAAACGTTGCTGAAATATGCTTAGCAAACAATGAAAGCACCATCTCAACAGCTTCCTATTTTAAAACAAAAAACAACCAATCAATGTTCCTCAACATCATTATCCAACTACATCATCTTCATTTCTTTAATATCCAAAGGTGACCAAATTGTCATTAAAATAATCAAAATTCTTCTCTTTGCTTGATTCAAAAGCTACCAACTTTTCTCAATTCTAAACCTGCCCATCAAATTTTCCACACACGGTTTCTAACCTTTCAACACTACATTTTACTACCACATTCTTTTCTCTTTCATTCTACACAAGAGACAAATCAATGGTACATCGAATCTTTCTAGTATTTTTTTCACTCTTAGATGCCACTTCTCTATTATACTTATTTATTAACTCTAATGACAGAAAAATCAGAAAAAATATTTACTACTAACATGTTCCTTCAACTGTTGCATGTTAATTATTTCTATATGTTATGTTTTCGTAATAAAACAGTTCATAAATTTAGCTGAAAATTCTTTTAGGTGAGCCGAAAATCTTGAGTTGAAAACTGGTTCAAGAAGCTTTCTGGTGTTGGTTGAAATGGAAGGGAGAGGATTTTCTGGTTTATACAAGAATTCAAGTGAAGAGTTGTTCTTGAAGACAGTGATGGAGAGTCCTATTGGTATGCCAGTACCTACCATGGATATGTTAGGATTTAAGACGATTTCTCAAAGCTTTCGAGCCGATAGTGAGGAGCTTTTCAAACGCTGGCTAACAAATGAAGAGGTAGGTTAAGGTTTCTACATGACATATGATCAGACAATTCTCTTGACATTTCTGATTACAATTTCTCTCAATGATGTTTCTTTGTTTCCTATATTAGGGATACAATTCAACGAGCATGGGACTTAACAGTCGATTATCGAAGAGGTGAGTATATGTCGATGAAATATGAACTTTTTCTTAACTGAAAATTTTAGTAATTTACTGAAATATTACATATTCTGGCGATTTTTTCGTGATGATTTTATGTTTTTTTCTGATGCATAAGTCCTGATTTGTGACCTCATTGTAATATGTAACTGCAGAATCTCCACTGAACTAGTTAATGCGTCTAATCAGCAACGTGTTGGTGTTGCTTTGGATGGAAGAAACAATGATAAATCATGCTTACAAAATAGCTTTTTGGCAAATGATGTTTCGGGGGATTTCAATTTTCCAATCAGAGATCCTGTTGATAGAGAATTGCAATCTAGTAACTTGTTTCTGGCCAAGGTATGTTAATATCAAACTCTTGTGGTTGAAGCCTTGGTTCGATAAATATTCGTAGTCATTAGATATTTCATTATCAATGCAGGCCTGGTTTCTTACCGATCAACGAATGACAAGAAGCCGGTCTTCTGAATTGCGGTATCCTTTTCGCGCCTATTATATGTTTTAGTTTATCCGTTTAAGTTGTTTATCCAAACACGGCTTAATTTGTTAGGCTTTTTTTGCAGGCGAAGGTATACCGAAATGCAAAATACTCAAGCACCACAAGGACTGGATTCAATGTTCATGGCTCCTAAGCATGACGCTAACATTATAAAAGAAGAACTTGCACATTTCAATGGTTTTGATTACCTTTCAATGTGTGAAATACCGAGTCAAAAGGGCTCATTCTTGTCTCCATCCAACTCATCTTCATCTACCTTCAACACACAACAATTGGTTGATGTAGATAAAGTTTCATCTTGTGTAAGTATGCTAAAAGGCACGTTACAACGCAAGAGACTCGAATGCCAAGTCGAGAAAGATGCTGCAGAAGATGGCTTAAACGAAATTTTTGGTATTCGAGAACCTCTTTTCCAATCTGGTTTTAATGAAGGACAAGAAAATTGGAATCATCACAAGCTAGTAAATGTTCAAGGAGATTTTACCGATCAAGGAGTCATTGAAACACTTGAAGGAGCCGCAAACTTCGTCTTAGAGGGTTTTGCGAATCAAACGAACCAAATACACGGTGGAACGGCTTCTGGAGAACCTTCGCAAAGTGAATCTTCTGCTGCTGCACCAGTAATCTCATCTGGTTTAGATGCTTGTGAAGGTCCTAGCAATTCAAGTCAAACTCTTTGTGATAGCTCATGGAAACAAGTGGGAGAAAGCACTCAAAATAGAGCCAAAGGTATAAAACTAATACGCGATTATTGAATTGTATTAGTCTACCTAAATCATCGTTCATCGAATATTTTGAATCTTGCATCGCGTTCATTAAGGAATAGTTAACATTTTTTGGAAATGCAGGTGTTAGAGAACAGATAATGGATAATCTGAAAGATGACAGAAAGGTATACATAACCTATTCTTGTGATAACATTATTGTTTATAACTATCGATTTACCTAGAAATTTCAACTATTTTAAAACTCTTTCGGGATTAATCTGGCTAAATTGTGCAGAGGAAAAGACTAGAGAGATATGCATCTGTAACATCGGCTGTTTCAGGTAGCCATTTATTCATTGAACAAGTTTTGGTTCATAAATCTTCACTACACTACCTTTGTTCCTCTTTAACCAAATGATTATGCAGATGACAAAGTGGACACGACAAAAAAGCGAAGGGTAGAGCGATCAAGAAAGTACGTAAAATAATCTCTATAAACAGATTGAGAGAGTCTCTTCGTATCCAATTTTATATTTGATGCATGTTTCTAATTTAAGAACCATGTAATGCAGAATGGCTGAGGCAAAGGAAAGAAATTTGACACCAACAATTCCCTCAGATATGCAAGCTGTCATGAAGCGATGCGAAAACCTTGAGAAGGAAGTTCGATCGCTAAAGCTTAACTTGTCCTTCATGAATAGGTAATCGGTATAAGTTCCTACTAAGATAAATAGTAATGCTCTTTCACCTGTTAAATTTTTGAGTGCGAAATGAACTTACAATATGATATTTCAGGAAGGATTCTGAACAAACAAAGCAGATAGAGGATCTTCAGAAGCAGAATGAAGAGTTAGCAGATGAAAAAGAGCGCCTACTCGAAGAGATTGAAAGACTTTTAGCAGAAACTGGAAAGATTTAATGTTTTGTTGTTTTCTTATTATGTCTTTAGCTTCTTCAAAAACAATGCAGTGCTAAGACAAGATTAAAATCTTGCCACAGTTAACTTGTGGGTGAAAAGCTTAGGTAAAAGTAAAACATTGATCAATTAGCAAAACATAAATGCATGGAATCTGAGTTATTAGTGTGACATTGTATATCTGGTCAAATATGTCTGTTATTCAAAATTTGAGGAGCATGAACAATGGATTGGAGCCAAATAAATGAATATGATAAACTTAAACACGGTCCAGTTTACTTACCAACCTCAATATGCTATTGGAAAAATTGTCCAAATGCTAGTAGATATTAGACTTATTATTCTTAAGCATATCATCTGAGGTACTGCATGGAAATGAATCCTTAGATGAATATGTTTTATGCTGACGACATTTTAATTTCAATGCAATTACTATAAATTTTTTATACAAAATATGACAAATTATTGGGGGATTAAACTTAGAATCACACCATGAAATTATGGGAAAGAGTGATTGAACGGAGACTAAAAAAAGAGACATAAATTACTTAGAATCAATTTGGTTTTAAGACTGAGAGATCGATCATGAAAGCGATCTATCTACTATGGTGTGTGATGGAATACTACTGGATGGACCAACAAGACTTACACTTAATTTTCATTGACTAGAAGAATACATACTGCCTAGAGAGATTTTGTAGAAAGTCTTAAAGAAAAGAAAAGATTAAGATCGCCTATATTTCAAGCTATCCAAGATACGTATAAATGAGATTTCGACTAGTATGCAGATACATGGTAGAGAGACAAACAATTTCTTCATTACAATAGAATTGCATCAAGGTTTAACCCTAAACACCTATCTTTTTGCTTTAGATTTGGATGTACTCACAAAATACATCCAAGAGCTAGCACTGAGATGTAAGTTTTTTTTGTAGATAATATAGTCTTACTTGACTAGCCAAAAAATAATTTAAATGAGAGATTAGAGACGAAGTTTAGAAACGCATGACTTCCGCCTAAACACGAGTAAGACCGGATCATTCCACAAATCACAATGTTTAAATATATTAGATCAGTAATACAATTGAATTGGATAGAAAAATAGTCATCGATAAAACATTATAGCAGAATTTAATCTATGTAGTCAACCTCATTTAACGGGATAAACCTCTGTTGTATAAGTTTGTTATATTCAAATTATTTGTTGTCTAACAAAAATAACCAACTTTTCTTACATCAATAAATCAGGTATATTATTTGTTCATTCAAATGATCTTTTACTATTTTCTGTTTCCATTAAAGTTTTAATGCTTCACAATTACTAAAACATCTGAGAAACTGAATTGTTTAATAAAAAGGGAATTTTGTTACACAGAAGTTGCTAAGTGCTCAAGTAAACATGAGTTTAATCAGACTCTGATTGGAGCACACATTTCCACAAAAAAAATCATTCAATCAATCCAAATGCCACCACAATGGCTTTTACAACATTTTCAACTTAAGTGTGTTTGTGACTCAAAGTCATTTGCAACAGAAACTTGAGAGGGTATATTTGATGTAAGACAACTTTGTAGACCACTATGTTACTGAACATACTAACTATTTCAACTGAGAACTTTATTTATTTTTTCAGAAGTATTAACAGGAACTGAATCTATTTAATTAAACTATCACATCTGTAATTCCGCTCGAACTATACACGACTTTCTTTTTGGTGCAGATGGGACAAGAATGCCATCCGCCCTAATTATAATATTACATGGGATTCAATCAATTCGCCAAAATAAGCGCTAGAATCTTGGGAATCTGAAAATATCCGTCAGACCAAGCCTCTTCCCATATTCAATAGCTAACCAAGCCACAAAAGATAAGTACGCAATAAGGAAACAGACGCGCCTGATGAGAACAGCAGTTACACGCCAAGAAAGTAACCATGCTGCAAACGGCAGATGTAATGAAGATAGAAGTTGTTTGAGGAACATAATAAAGGTTATGGAGATCAAAGCTGTTGAGAATCCAGATATTACACCAGCTATTATTTCCCACCTCCAAAAAAGTGCCCTCCTTCTCTTATCTGAAAACCAATAATTTACCGTCTCCATGGCCCTGGTACAAGATGCATGCATAATTTAAATAATAGGATGATTAAAATAATATTGAATTATTCCCAAAATAAACATACATAGATCTATATGCACAATGACAGAATGTTAATTCTAAACAATGTTCTTCTACTTACAAGCATTAAATTATGAATTCTCACACTACAATACCCTTTTAGTTAAGTTATCTAATCGTGATATCACAGCAAATATGCAACCAAATATTTAGTTTGGGAAGATAGTGTAAAGTACTCACTGCGTAGAATATTGTACAATCTTCTCAATAGTAGACTGCTCGTCGGCACGGCAACCAAAGAGATTGTCTTGATATAAATGCACTTTTGAAATGCCAGATGTGTACCAGCAATCATAAGTCTCGTTTATCTAATATAACAAAAGAGAGAGAAAAATAAAAATGACATAACAATTAAAGGAAGAAGAGAAAATAAAAATGACATAACAATGCCAAAGACCTCTGGCGAACTGGTAAGTCGTAAGAGTTAACTTTTACTGTATCTGACATCACTGCGATGTTTGTACATAATAAATGAGGCTCTGCATGATAAGTTAATAACATTGTTCAAGTTATGGGGTTTTAGAAAAAGAGCAAAGAGAATTTTAAAGACTTCGAATTCTGAATATGTTTGATATGATTGATGATTATGATTTGATATAAAAAAGGCCAAGCTCAAACCCTTAAGTAAAAAGCTAGGGATAGACTCCAATTAGGACAAAAACCAGCGTCAAACCACAGTTGAGACAAAACCAGAACCAAACTATAACTGAGGCAAAACAGCAATAATTATAAAACAATCGTCAAACCGCAACTGATACAAAATTAGTTCTGAACCGTCTAGGAGACAACTGTGCCAAACTGCAACTAAGGAAAAATCAGTGTTTTCAAATGAACACGTTCAAGAGTAGATTGAATAAAATAAACATGGACAGATATGGGTAGATCGCGTGGAAGTGTCACCTAAACAATAAACAGTGGTGAAACAAAAGTCAAATGAGAGGTCCACAAGATGAATCTGGTCTCAATAGAACCATCAAGCGACAGCACATAGAGCTCGACCAGCAACATTACGAATGTGGTGTGTGCACTGAGAAGAACACAAACTTGAGGGTCGGGATTGATTGTTATAAAAGGATTTTGCATACAAATATAATAGAGTCTCAATCATAATAAAACTTGGCAACGGAATAGTGATAGAAAACATTGTTGAGGATGGTACCACTTTAATACCATGTTGAAATTGGTTTTAGATAAAGAAAAAAGGGAATATTAAGTTAAGACAATATTAAGTTATAAAAAACTGTCTTAGCTACTTATAACCATAAACCACAAATTGAAAGCCCCACCTTAAATTTGTACTGCGTCAACCATGCAGCACCAAAGTTAGGCCTGCAATAAAGAGGAAGGGCTTCACTCGGAGCCTCAGCAAACGCAACTTGTCTCTGACCTGAAAAGTGATCTTGGTATTCCACCTGAAACAATATTAACATAAACTATTTACAACAACACAACAGAATTACCTAGATATGGTTATCATAACCTATAAAGGATAGACCATATATAAGCTAATTGCTTCAATGGGCACAATTAATTGGTTGTGAGCATATTTTATGTATAGATTGATGTGTTACTTAAATAAGATGAGAAAACAGTGCATGAGTCTGAATTAAAAGGAACAAGCATGCAAAGCAAGAAAGATCACATTGGATGTTATTCTGTGATAATAACTAACAGCTAAACAGTCAAGTTTTTTTGTTTGGACAGAGGTGTGTAAAAGGATTAATACTATCACTATGCTACAAGTTCAGACACTGATAGAGGGCATAAAACTCCTTTCATAGATTACTGTTATTAATGTCTCATGACATTATAGCTCAGAAATATCATTCTACTTCTCTCAAATTGTTCTACAACCACTTTTGTTTGGAATAAGCTATTCAGAATTATTGACGAATGTTGGATGTGTCCTTTGACTCCGGAGCAGGGAAGGAAAAGTATAAGACAGTGAGTAATTTTAGTAGTTCTCTGGTATATTCAGATGGAGGACAATGCTTGTTTTTTCGAGGGGTTTTTTCTGTCCTTGCCAGATGATCTGACTATGGTTTCTTTAAGACAATCTCCCTCACAATGAACTTTTTGTTGGGCTTATTTTACTTTTAGTACATTGTTAAGAAGAAATCTGATCTTCCCTCTTACTCGTGCCTTGTTTTTCCTCTAGCAAATAATATATATTTTTCTTTTACATAAGAATAAACAATACCTAAATTGGCAACAAGTTATAATAACCTTGAATACTGAAGCCCAATAGTAATCATAACGGCAGCGAAATTTGCTTCTTTCAAAATGACGAAAAACATCCTTTGCTTTATAATCTAACAATCCGAGTTCACAAACCTTAGATGATCTAATATCAACACCTGTAAGAAAAATAATAGCAGGCAATTTAGATTGAATTAGAAAGAAAAAAACTCCAATTCTTCTCAAAACTTAACTTCAAACTAAATGAGTACTAATAATCAAATGAGTGAAAAGATATAAACCGCACCAATCATTAGCTCATAAAAGATATGAATGTCATGAATAAGTTACTTACTTTTCTCCCAAATTAATGATCAAACAATACATGAACACATTCCTTTTCTCACAAATTAAAAAACACCACCAATCATTGGCTCATAAAAGATATAAATATCATGAATAAGTTATTTACTTTTCTCCCAAATTAATGATCAAACAATACATACATGAACACGTTCCTTTTCTCACAAATTAAAAAACACCGCCACATTTTATACCTCATTAAATACTCAAAATAGGTTCCCAACTAGTGAAAACTCTGATTCTTTTCATATATATATTGATTTCATTTCGATTCTAAAATCTAAACGGACTCCTCTAAACTGAGCAATTCACTTTACAAGCTCATGTAAGCAATTTCAATAGCCAATGAATTACTAATTCAACCACATAACCAAGTGGTTGGGCTCAAGTGGCTAATGAGCTTAACCTAACGAGGAATAGTTCGAGAAAACTCGAGTTCAAATCACAGGTGAACAGCTCTTGTCCAGACTTCACTTACCTCCCACTTCAACTCCGGATTTCCAGACACCCTTCCCCTGAGAACCGAGGGGTTAACACCAAAAATCAACCACATTCGTGCTTATTATACACAAGGGTTGATTCATTCATGATCTATTGAGATTACTTACTTAACTGAATCTAAAATTAATCACTAGTGAGCTAAATCCAAACTTCTAATTGTTACTTTCAACTAAAAGTAGGTTAAATTCAAATTCAATTGCTTAACTAATTTCAACAAGAACAAAACTAAGCTTGAAAGCTGACAGAGAAACACGTGATGGAAGAAGAATAGAAAACTAACCAGTGGAGACGATTTTGCAGTGTGAAGGGAGAGATATGGGGTTAGGGACAGAGAAATCGGCGAGGATGAGAAGCAGTAAACTCAACAGAAAGGGAACAGAGAACAAGAAAACGAAGGGTAATAGAATTGCGATGAACCATCGCAGTATAACGAAAGCGGTGATGCTGCGGTTCTTCTTAGGAGGGTTTGGTTTATCGGATTGGGAGTGAGAATCCATGGAGGGTGTGTCGGTTAGGGTTTAGGAGTAGATGGGATATGCGTGGTGTTGACGCCGGTCACCGGAATCCGGTGATCGGAGTGATGTTGAAAATGGGGAATAAAGTGTAGAGATATTTGTGTGTGCTGTCATAGGAAAAGGAAGGTGATTCCCTGCGGTAAGAAATAAGATGGTTCACAATATTATAATTTTTTAAACGTTGGATCTAGATCGGACTATATCTCTATTTTAATTTTTTTTTTTGTTATTTTAAAAATTGAATTTGGTTCGTTATAACGAAACATACTACACTTCATAGTAGAAAACATACTAGGGTTAATGCTTTGTTAAATCTATTTCATTCTAGCATTCGAATAGTTGGTGCAGATGTTTGATATAGTGGTGCGAGTGCGAGGAGGATTTGAAAGATTAACATTTCAAAAATAAAGTCAATTTCAAATAAAGGATTAGAGTGATTTATGGGTTGAAAATCATATTGTTTTACTATTCAAAAGGGGGGTATTTATGTAGTGGACAAAATGAGATTTTTCACGCGTTAGGCTTGCTTTGTTGTTATGCATGGAAAATCTTCCACATAGTTGGGCCGATACACTTAATTGTGATTATGTGTTGAAAAGTGGAAAAGGCCTAGAGATAAATAATCTTATCATTGAGACGTTTTGTATGTTTCTTCACGCCTACTATATTTATAGGTTAGGCGTGACGTTTTCTCCTAAGGTGTTCGAATGCACTTAATTGTGGTTACATTTTTGAGGTATTATCTAAATGGTTGATTTTTAGTCTTCCGTTTACTTTCATTATGCAGTGTTGATTTGTTTCACTATATAAGGGTTGCTTTGACTTTTCAAACAATTTTACGTTCGCTCTCGTAATTGAGCGTAGTGTTATTGTGACTCATTTCTTCTTCATCTTCAACGCTCTAGTGACTCCTTTTTTAGCTATCTCCCTCTCTTGTTAGGGCCTTCGCATTATTAGCTTTTCACGCTTTAAATAGTTTATTCGCTTCATCTTCTTATTCAAGTACTTTTCTATAGCCTTTTCCCTTTCATTTGTTGTCTTACCCCCTTTTAGCATTTATCATGGCTAACTTAGGAGATGCACCTGAGAATATGAACAAAGCTGATGTGGAGAGATTCTTCAGTATCAGCAATTTATGAAAATCTTGACATTCTAGATGCTGAACCTTTAGAAATCAATGGCCTCAACCTCAATTTTAATGTATTGAGTGATAGTTTTAGGTCTGAAGGAGGTTCTGTTGAAAGCGTGGACGGTCCTCTTAGTTCTTATAAAAGGGATGGATATGGGGCTCCCGTAATCCAGTTTATATGGAAGTGGTTTCCCACCTTGCATCCTTTCTTCAATCTACAACAAATTAGACACAACTATAATGACATGAGATGAGCGAAAAGCCTTCTTTTATGTTGAATCGTTTAGGGCGGCTTATGATCGGGATCCCAGTGGTATATGGATCATCTCACCTTTAGGAATAACTATATAGTTTATGACTAACATTATATTTTACATGACATCTAGGAAGAAATTGTAAGGGGAGGACATACAGATTTGGTGTCGTCGCCAGATGTTGGGCTCTACCATTGGGTAGATTCTAGGTTGGTGGGCACAATTTATGTTTTTGACAATGCAACGAAGGTGCGGAAGGCTCAGATAAGAGTGGACTCTTCTTTTGATTGGCATGTTTCCCACATTGATATTGGCAAGAGGATTTGCATATCTTTTGATAGGTGTTATGTCACCTTCTATAACTTTCTCTTCACCCAACAGAGACTCATGTTACCCTTTAGTGGGTTTAAAGAGGGGTTGTTGAATCATGTGGATATTGCTTCTTCTCATATTCACTCGTCCACTCGAGCCTTTTCCATGGTGTTTTAGTACTGGCGTGAGTACCAGAAAAAGGTGTCGTCCCTTAATCTTTTCTTAAATTTATTATATGTATCCTCTTACATTAAGGGATATTGTCTGCAGGCAGGGAATGCTTTCATTCTACCAATAAACTAAGATGTTTGGCGTTTACATGTACATTCGAAAGAGTTTGAAGGATCATTTCATTATGATGACTCCAATTACTTTTAAGGCGACTTTATTTTCTGTAAAGTTCCTGATGGGGGTCTCGACCCTGCTGGTGCTTTTGCCTCATTGTCTTCTAAATGAAGGGGGATTAGTAAATACTAGACCTAGAGCCATTTCAACAGGAGTCACTTAGATATGTCGGTCATGGTGACAAATTATCCCTATAAGATGAGTCAGCGAAAGAGAACCTGGTGACCTTCTGGGAAAACTTGGGTTTTAAGGATGGCAAAGGTCTTGGAGAATTGATGCTTACTAAGCAGTAAAGGTGGCTCATCAGTACCTAGGTCGTCCTGGATGTTGTCGTTATTGTTCACCATACTCCTCTGACTCTTCTAGTCCCCACATCAATGGAGGCAGGGACATATTTACATCTTACAACTACCACTGACAACGAACCTTTCACCGTTGCTGAGACTTTGCATGTCTCTCAGGTGTAGTCGGCTCTGCCCGATCAAGGCAAAAGACAGAGAAGGAGATTAAATGAATGCCAACCTTCTGCACTTGGTGAAAAGAATAAATGGGGATGAGACGAGAATCATGCTAAAGATGGGGACGAGAAAAAGGTCTAAATTTTTTGGCTCCAACACTATCGGGATTTCTCTCAAAGTTTCCAAGGTGGTTCCTCCCAAGTTTCCAACTGCTATTCCTCATCGAGTGCCTCTCAGAGGCACACATATGTTTCACTGAGAAGAATGTCACTTGCATCCAAGGCCTTTCTGATATTGAGAAGATGAAGTTGATGGCCGAGACTACCTACCACATGTTTCATGGTGCTTATCTGATTACCCTTGAAATTGTTGGCGGGGGAGAAACACTTTCCCTAGGCAACTTACCAAGGTGAAATATCAGTGGAAGAGCAAGTGTCTACCAACTAATTGTGAGTGGACTGCTCTCTCGAAAAAAGTGTCAAAGATTCTAGAGGAGTTGGAGAACTCTCGAAAGGAAGCAGAGGATTGGGAAAAGGAGACTAAGAAGATGGCTGGCCTTAAAAATGAGGTGGAAGCTCATGAGCTCTATTTGACTTTGCGGCTAGGATCACCACCCTACGGGGGATATTGGTCGATAAAGGAAAATCCTTGAATGAGGAAAAATCCTTTGAAAATGAGTTGACTTCCCAAGTCATTGTCGCTAGGGAGGTCTTCGAAGAAGAAAGAGAATCTCGTATGGAGCATGTCAATAATCTAGAATAAGAGCATGATGACGCCTTCAATGATAGCATATAAGAGCTATTGACACTTTCTGGAGGGCCACCAACCAAATAAAGATCCTTTGTCCGAAAATTTAAATTCCTCACTGCAAATCCTTTTGTCTTTATTAGGGGTCTGTACACCCAAATCTGAAGAAATACCTACATCTAATAAAGAATCTATCTTTATTTAGTTCACCAGCTACAACTGCAGCTTCTTTTCATCACTTAAAGAATGCTGAGTGTCTTAGTTACCTCCAATTAGTACTATAAAAGTTTGGGAATGGATGTTCGTTTTCAGACTTATGTTCCTTCAAATTTATTTTAGTTACTTACCTTTTGTGCATTAATTATATATATTTTTATTTTAAAAAAATCTCAGTTCCCACGGTTTATCCTTTGGATATATAGCCTTGAAAGATTGGGGTTAATCATCATTTCGAAGAGGAAATTCAAAGTGTATTGGATGAAACATACAGGTAATAATACTTTTGAGATACATGCTCCTATTAAAGTAAAATACAATGTCAATAGCTAGAGAAGTATGGAAAAACTTATGTATATGTGATAAAAGTATTGAGATAGTAAACGTCTGTTTACTCAATCTTCAGATTGGATCTCTTTTTGCACCTGTTGTATTGACATCACGAGAGATATATGAGCAGGAAATTGAATCTGGTCATCCAAATAAGGATGTCAAAGCTACGTGTTTGAAGAATGTTGATCTCGAAAAAATCCTGGGAGAAATTGAGCGTGGTCGTGGAATATATGTTTTTCCTTCAAAGTTTGCTCATCCACGGTCTGATCTATACTTTTGGAATAAGTGGCATGGATTTGAGGTTCAACATGGAAAAGAGGATAAATTTAGAGAAATGCTTCGAATTAAACAGAGTGTGTCTGCAAGCTACATCCAGGTTCTTTTTCAAGTTTCTATTTTTACTTTCTTCAACTCTATCTTGATTTTTGTTGTTGTATTTAATCTAATATAAGTTCTATTGTTTTTACAGACCCATTTTATACTGCCTGATTATCTGACAAAGAAGGATCAAATCGTGAATCTAGATGAAGCCAAAGACAAACTTAAAGTGGTTGGGATCGTTGAAGATGAAATGGATGCTTTAGAATGGTAATTAGCTCCATCCGCTCATAAAATAGTGACAAAAGAGAAAAAAGTTGGGTTTGTAAGTGTTGGAGTGGAGTCACAACAGTTTGATGGAGGGATGAAATATAATGCAAACCATGAGGGAATTAAGTTAACAGAAGAAAACAACTCCGACGAGGAAGATCAAAATAATATTGTGCAAAAAGATGTCCCTGTTAAATTGTAATTCGATTGTGTCGAAATAGTGTGTGTGTCGAAGGGAGGTTGCCCAGTTGGAGAGCTTGTGGATCGAAGCAAGCTATACACAGATTTGATTGGTTTTAGATTTAGATAAATTTGATTTAGACCTAAAATAGATAGATTTGATTTAGTACCAAAATAGGTATTTTGGGATTTTATAGTTTTGGCCTTTGGCTTAGGGAGCAAGCTAACCTAAATCTATAAATAGAGGGAGTAACCTTAATTTTGTAATTAAGTCAATTAATTGTAATCACAAAATTTGCAGTTGGAAGTGATTAATAAAGTTTTCCACAGTTTGTGGGCAGAGAGAAACTCTGAAGAAAATAATTGTCTTCTTTCTTTTCTTTTCTTTTCTTTTCTCATAATTCATTGTCATTGTATGGT